CCGTAGTCGAGCTGCAGCATGGCGCTCTGGCTGGCGGCGCGCCGCGTGCCGGGCCGGCGCTGCTCGTCGAAGGCCAGCGCCTGCACCTCATCGCGGTTGCGCACCAGCATCACCGACAGGCTCTTGTGCGGGGCCTTGCCCGCCGTGAACGAGAAGAAGTAGGCGCCCGGCACGCGGCAGCGGAAGCGCCCTGTGGCCGCGTCGAAGTCACCGCCGATGTTCACCAGCACCTTGTCGAACGTCACTGCCATCTCCGACGTGCCCTCCAGCGGCGTGGTGCGCGCCGCCGAGAAGGCCGAGCGCAGCCCCGAGGAGCCGGGCCCCGGGGCAGGACCCAGGGCCCAGCAGGCAGGCGGGGCCAGCAGGCCGAACAGGAGAAGCAGCATGGCCCCTGCGGAGACCGAGGGAGAGGGGGACATGGCATCCAGGCCCGATCGCAGATCCGGTGCTCGTCCCGGCCGCGACCTGGGCCCGAGGGTCGCTGTCGCGCTCCTGCAGACTGGGCTAGGTCGCAGACTGGGCTAGCGACGCAGTGTCCCGCCGAGGGCCCGTTAGGGCACACGCAGCCGGCAGGGCGCTGCACTGCTGCAGTCTCGGCTGGTTGGGAGGCTGAGACTGCAGCGTCGCCGCCCGCTAGAGGCCAGCCTGGGCTACACGGCGGGTTCGAGGTCAGCCTGCACTGCATAGCGACACCGTGTTTCAAAAAAACTCAAAATAACACGGGGCTATGGTGATGCTCCCCTGTAATCCCGGCGCCCTGGGACACGGAAGAGGATCACAAGTTGAAACCAAGACTGGGAAACTTAGCCATTTAGGGGGACCCTGCCTCAGAATAAAAAGGCTGGGGATGCGGCTCAGTGCGGTGCTCTGGGTTCAGTCCCCAGCACTGGAGAACAGAGTCCGGGCCAGGGCCTGGGAATCTGCATTTCACCCCTAGGTGGGGCGGCGGCTGCGCTTCAGAATTGGAGCCAGAGATTCGCCTTTGCTTCCTTTGTGAGCACAGGACCCTCTCTCGGGTTGTTGAGGCCCGCAGCCCCGTGCGCCCGGCCCGCCAGCTGCCCCTCAGCACCTCCGGCCCTGGTAGCGCAGGAGGACCAGGGCACTCCTGAGTGGCCCTCGGCCTGTGGCTTGCTTCCTGCTCCTGTGGGCCCGTCTGGTCCTTGGCCTGCCCTTCACTGCAGCCGCTGGGTCTCAGGATCAGTGTCCTCTGTGACAGCGACTGTTTCGGTCCCTCTGGGCAGGAGAAGAAATGGCTGTTCCCTGACCCCCCGGTGACCCTCTAGGGTCAGCTGTCACAGAGGCCTTCTGACTCCCAGGCGTCCTTGCAGCCCAAGGAGGCCTGAACAGTTGGGCTTTGAGGCAGCGCCACACCATGAAATTAGAGGAAAAGGGAGGCAACCGTGCCTGGCAGCTGGTCCCTGCTGGGAAGAAGAGACTCCCCAGGCAGCACTGGGACAGTGGGGCACCGAAGTTCCAGCAGGGCCTCGGTGAGGCTGTGAAGCCACCCACCGCTTTGTTCCTCGGGTGGAACGGAGCGCACAGATGCCTAGGTTTGGGCTCGAATCCCGCTGTGGGCCCTCGGGAGCTGCTGGGCCTGAGCAGGGCGTTGAGAGGATGCAGACACGCCTTGCAAACAGCAGCGTGATCCGTGGCCCTGGGAGTGGCTGTGATTGAATTCACGACATCAGGGTTAGGGACTCTGGAACCCCTGTCCCTGAGAGCAGGGTGGGGCACATGGGATGCTACTGCTGTCCTAGGTGGGCAGAATCTTAGGCAGTAACGCTGAGCACCGACTTCACTGGGAAACGCCCTGTTGTGAGTGCAGCTCTGTTGCCTAGAGACGCCAGGGGCCCGCTGAGTGGGGTTGCCAGGTACAGCCCAGCAGATGTGGCCTGTGCCAGGTGTTCACCTGAAAGCTATGAGAGCCCAGATGCTGGAGTGGCATCTGGGGAGATTCTCACTTTAGGGACCCAAACTGCTGGCCCCTCCAGATGCAGTACTCTTTATAATTCTTGAAAAAGCATCCTATGGGTGGCGATGTCCTTGGTGAGGGGTGGGAGGAGAGGAGCTGGTCTCTAGTGGTGCAGGTTGTACCCCAAAAGTATCCAGTACATTCCCTTCCACAGAGCTCCTTTGAGCTGGGTGTGAGGCAGGAAGATTGCAAGTTTGAGGCCAGCTTGGACTATATAGGAGTTCAAGGCCAGCGTGAAGAGCAAGACCCTGTCTCAAAAACCAAACCAACCAGCACTGGGCGTGGTGGCGCATGCCTGGAATCCCAGCACTCAGGAAGCTGAGGCAGGAGGATCCTTGCGAGTTTGAGGCCAGCCTGGGCTACAAAGTGAGTTCAAGGCCAGCCTGAACTCATAGGGAGACCCTGTCTCAAAAAGACAGAAAGCCAAAAAAACAAACAAACAAACAAACAAAATACACACACAAAAACCCAAAGCCCTTTTGGACACAACCCTTCTTGGCAAGCTTGGGGGTTGGGCGCTGTCCCATTTTACAGATGAGAAAGCTGAGGTCTAACAAGAGGGGCATATTCCAGTCCAAGGTCATCCCCGGAGCAATAAGGCAGGGCTTGCACAGAGGTTTGCTGACTTCAAATTCAGGCTGCCCTCCTTCCCATCACCCTTCCCTCTTAGACACGAGTATCCAGCCACCCTGTCCTCTCCCTCAGTTTCTCTTTACTGCAAAAACGAGAAGAGAGGAGGGGACTACAGTGGGATCCACCGTGAAGGAGAAAGGAAGCAGGCAAAGCAAACAAAAGCAAACCAAGACTCCAGCATTGTCTCAGGGCGCAGGGGCTCCTTTCTTTCCTAGCTGCTCGCTTCCGGGAGCCCCTGCCTGCCGGACCCCAGTGCCTGCTCTAAGGTGGTCCCGCGCGGTTTCTGGCCTCCGTTTCCGCTACTGCACATCCCTGGGGCCCTGGGGCCCCTCCTTGGCCGACCCCTTCCCCAGCAGGTGGGGACAGGTGGGAGGAAATGGCTGTTCCCCGCTCCGTGCAGGTGAGGCTCGACACGGGCGTCTTCAAAGAGCAAAACTGGACAGGCGCCGGGCAGCCCCGGGGTCCAGCAGCGGAGGTGCAGCGGCGTCCGGCGGGGGTCTCCGCGGCCCCCCAGCACCCCGCCCCGTGGCGCCCCCGAAATTCACCCTTTCTCATGAAAAAACCCCCGGCAAGGGACCCGAGATCCTCCCGCCGTCCCTCCGGAGCGAGGGCTGTAAGCCTCCTCCGCGCCAGGGCGCCCAGGTGCCCCTTTCTCCAGAAGGACCCAGGCCCGCGGCCACGAGGCGGGGACCCGGCTCCGGCTGCGAGTGGCGCTCACCTGGCCGCGGCGCTGGGCTCGGTTCGGTCGGCGCTGCGATCCGCCTCGGGCTCGGGCTCGGGCTC